GCAGGAGGAAAAACAGCCTCTTTATCCAACAATAAAAATAAGCTGATATTTACATGCAGAAGATTGAAGCTAAATTAGCTGTATGAGACCTGCTACTAAGCTAAAGTCAAAATGGCTCAAAAATCTCAATATTAAAATATAAACAACCTGCCAGAAGATAAATTAAGTAAAATTTTTGAATTCATAAGCACAGGCAAGGTCTTTTGAACAGAGCCCCAACTGTATGACAAATAGCATCAATAATCAACAAATGGGTCATATCAAGTTAAAAAAGTTTCTCACAGCAAGGAAAACAACCTACAGAATGAGCAGGCAACATACAGCATGGAAAAATTTTGCCAGCTATACCTTGGATAAAAATTATTGTCTATGACATATAAAAAACTCAAAAAACTTAGACCACCCCCCAAAAAAAAAAAACCCAAGAAAGCAGGAAACTAAAATGAGCAGACATTTCCCAGAAGTACTACTAGCTAATAAATACATGACAAAATGTTCAGCATGTATGGCCACATGAGAAATGGAAATCACAACAACCCTTAACTTTCATCTTATCCCAGAAAGAATAGCTATCATCAGGAAATGAAATAATAATTACTGGAAAATCTTTAGGGAAAAGTCACCCTCCTACATTGTTGGAGGGAGTGTAAACTAGTGCAACCACTTTGAAAATCAGTGTGGAAATTCATCGAAAAACCAAAACTAAAAATTTCTTTCAATCCAGCTATTCCCCTACTGGTGATCCTTCTGAGTTAAATATATCATATTGATACAAGCATACCCATTGTTACGCCATCCAAATTCATAATAGTTTAAATGTTGGAAGTGGCCTATGCAGTAAGTCTGAGACTTACATATGAATTCTGTTCCAGGTTGCTAAGTCTGACAAAATGAGTCTCATACGGTACATCTGTGAAAGTTCATGATTTGAATGTTCCTAAATCGGGGATGTCCACCAACATGGATAAGGTGTGGTATTAAACTACTCTGTTATAAAGGACAAAGTTGTGCCTTTCTAGGAAAAAGGATGCAGCTTGAGATCTTAACAGTAAGTGGGGAAAAAAATCAGACACACAAACTTAAGTACTGTATGATTTCACTTTTGCTATAAAACTAAAATATGAATTAAAAAGCAAAATAAAATGTAAGTAATAGGAAACAGTGAGATAGCTCTTTTACAAAAGGGATGGGGAATGGGATGAAGGAAGAGCTGAGGGAAGGAAAGGGATGTAAAATGAATTAAGATGTCATGTACGTGTACCAACTATACACAACGAATGCATTCGTTATGTACCACAAACATGTATTAATAAAAATAAACCTCTACTATTTTATCTTCAGTTGAGTAAATACGGTGTAACTATAAGGAGAGATAACAATCTTAGTTTTTAGAGTGTACTCCACTTAGATGGGTTTCACAAAGGTTCAGAAACATTCTTTGTGGGTTGGGGATGTAGGTCATGAATAAAATGCTTGCCTAGTATATGCAATGCCTAGATTCAATCCCAGCACCAACAAAACAAATATTTTATGCTAAAATTAAATCATGTCCATGAAATATGGGGAAAAAGTCTTATAAACCTTGAAATTTTTTGAGCACAGAAAACTTGGATGGCAACAGAAATATGTAACATAATACTTATTCCAATATACATGAAGTCTGACACCAAAATGTTTACTAGCAGCACAATGGAGATGCAAAATCCAGGGAGATAAACTGGAAGTGAATTTAGAACCATAAGATTTCTGGAGAGATTTCCAGAAGAATTTAAATTCTGTGCAATTCGATTTTTTTTTTTTTTTTTTTTTTTGTATATGATAGAAAACCAAAATGAGTACAGGTTCTGAAGAATTGTTAGTTTTTAGAATGAAAACCCAAGTAATCTGACAATTAGATCAATATGTGTTATACTCTCCAGTAGTCTGTACTTCAGTACTTTTCCTTTTCTATATGAGATCATATTGTATTCTTCCATGGATGTAATTTCCAGGAGGTCTTGCCTAAATCTATTAGTGAAGCTCTCTTCTGAGTTCCCACACAACCTTCTGCCTACCTGTTTTAACTCTTCAGCAGAACTAAATGGTATTTTATGTTCCTACCTCTTCATTGCAAACTTGAGAGCTGAGATTGACTCAATCTTTACTGCACTTTTGGTGACTAGCATAGTGCTTGTCATATACCTTTTTGCTTGGCAAATACTTGGCAACTACAACTTGGATTGATCAGTCCTTCACAGCCTCACCGTGATCCTTGTTGAGTTCTCCAGCCTTGTAACATCCAGTAGTGGCACCAAAGTATTTTTAGTATGTATTTAGATAAGATCAGTTGCCCACCTGTTGTAATCAGGGTTTACAAGGAAAACAATACAGGAGACATAACTTATAAAATTGTTTATAATAGTCACCCAAGGAGTCAAATACAAAGGGAGTACAGGAGATCTGTCCACACTGAAGAACAAAGAATCTAGTTGAAGGTGAGGATCCCATGGCATTATCTTGTATGAGTCCAGTTGAAAACCTAGAGCCAGTGTCAATGCCTCATGCAAGTCTGTTTCACAGATCTGTACTGGGAAAGTCCAAAGGTCAGTGGCAGAAGCAGAAAGTCTGTGCCCAAGGGATGGAGGATCTGTGCTAGCAGGCCGAGGGATCTGCGTTGAAACCAGCAAGTGACACTGAAAGTAAGGATCAAAGCTTCCCCATAAAGTATCACAACCATCCTTAGCTATGAGGTTCCAAGCACCTGCAAAAGTGAAAACAGCTGAGTTCCCATCAGGAAAGCCAACGTGACAAGCTTCTCCCAGGAGACTGAACAGTGCATCATCTTTCCACCTGGAACCAAGAAGCAATGCTTAAAGTAAGGACCAGAGCTCTCCCAAAGTGAACCATAGCCATTCTCAGTGACAAGGCCCTCAGCTCCTTCAATGATGAGAACAGCTGAGTTCTTATCAGGAAAGCCAGCATGACAAGCTCCTCCAAGAGAACCAACCTCCTAAAAGCTCAGCTCTTCTTCTCCAGTCCTTTTTGTTTTGCCAGCAACAATCCCCAAATGGGCCCTTCATACCCAGCACCATACTGGTTCAGCTCAGATGGGTGTTAGAAGCTGACCACCAGTTGTCTTTCCAGCACACCAATCTCTACCTTTTTCAAGAAATCCCACCACACATCCCACTTCATTCATTCTCAGGAGTCATTTTCTCTTGGTAGTCTTTCCTAACTCATGTCTTTACCAACCTACATTGGATTACTACTTCTCTGAATTCCCGTAATTCTCTGTGCATATGCCACTGCACTACACACATCCCATTGGAAGGTGTACTGTTAAACACATTGTCTCAACTTGAGATGTAGGAAGCTTGGCTGGATCGTTTGGCTATTCCCTGCCCTGAAGTTTGGAGAGCCCTGAATAATACATTCCTGCGGGCAGCAAGGGCCATCCTAAAGTGACTCAGCACAAAAAGTGTATATAAAGGAGTTGAAGGCTTCTGCCCAGGCCACTTCCTTGGAGTTCCCATTTTCACCGCGCTGCTTCACCACTTCACGTGTGCCACTTCGGAGGAGCTTGACATTCATCCAGTCTTCACAGTCAGCATGCACAGAAGGGAGAGAGGCTTAATAGATGCCTCAACTGCTGCTCCTTCCTCTGCTCTCTACTGTTCTCTGCCACCATGGACTGCTGCTGTTTGCCTTGGAGCCAGCGGAGTATGGACTGAAACCTCCACTTCCTGTGAGCTAAATAAACCTTTCCTTCCTTAATTTTGAGTGTCAAGTATTTGTCCTCACAACGAGTGAGACAGAAGGCAAACATTCCACTCCACCCAATTTGTTTTATTCTTGTTGGTATCCTCCAAAATTACCACACTACTTGGCACATAGTAGATGATTTTAAAATGTGGCTTAAGTAAAAAACAGAAAACAAGGAAACAGTCTTAATAGGCTGCATTTTAGAGATGTAGATATGTAGGAACGCAAATTGGCCGCTCAGTATATACTCCTAAGAGACAGCTGGAAATAAAATAGAAAAGAGCCTTTCAGTCTTGAGGGTAAAGTTCAAGCCACAAAACAATAAATTTTTTTGTAGAGGGGACAGTAACACGGTAGAGTTACAACAGAAGTGACACGTTAGGAGCCAGGAAAGCAACCATTTATGGAAACACAAACAGGCCTAGTCATCAGAGGATAATGGAGCACTTCCAATAATGTTAACATTTCATTAAAAAGTCAAAGAATAATACATTCATAAATTGCTCCCAAATGCCCTGACATTACCCAATGAGTACACAGATCTTTCCTCTCATTTATGGTAGCATTTCAGTAATTTTAGTGCACAGTTCAGTGGCATTAGGTTTACACAGTTAAGTAACTGTCACCTTCAATTCTCCCTGTGATTTTTAAGGCGCAAGCCGAGGTCTGCTTTCGTCATATATTAATTTTGTGCACGGGTTAAATTCACAAATAGAAAAGTGAAATAAATCAACAAAGGACTATTTTACACGGGCTTCTACAAGTGGAATTTAAGAGCCAAAGGGTTCAATTCAGTGGTTCCCCTCCACTCTTGGACGACGTCAACAAACGGAGCAGTGCAGGAACGTGGCAGGCCCTTCGGGGCAAGAAGGAGCGGCTGAAGAGACAAACGAAGAAATCATAATGTTCGAAAAACAGCTACAGTCCTGTCTTAGTACTTTTTGCCCCGTTCTCCTTCTCTTTACTTTCTAACCTCCTTTAAATTAGCGCGGCCCTAAACCCACGGACTCGCCCCTTTACCTGGACTGGCGCCTTTTAATGACGCAGCCTTCCCATTCTCGCGGGAATTTGGGAGCCGGAGCCGGGCAGAGCCAACAAATCTCGCAATCTCAGCTGGCGCGGGAGTCGGATTGGCAGCTGGGAATGCAGAGGGGCGGGGGCGCGGAGCCCGAAAGGGGCGGGACCAGGCTTCGGGGAAGGGCGGGGAGAGCGTCGGGGGCGGGGCCGCGCGGCCGCGGACCTGTTGAGCGCAGGTACGGCCGGCCGGTCAGAGCGCCCTGGGGACCGGCGGACTGCGCATGCTCGCTGCGGGCCCCCGGCCGGCAGCCCTTCGGCGGAGACGAGCCGGCTGCGCGGCGGCTGCGGTCGCGATGTGAGTGGGCCCGGGGCGGGATGTGCTGACCCGGCGCGGGTCGTCGTCTTCCAGCCGCACAGCGAGCTCCTCTGTCCGCCGGGCAGGGGCGTGGGCGCGCGGGGGAGAGGTGAGCGCCCCGCCGCCCGCG